AAAAAAATTGCCTTTCCCTATTCCCCAAAAGCCTTTCTCCACAGACCGCAGACATTTCTTTAGCATTGCTAGATGCATTCAAAGTTTTATTTTATCTGGATGTTTCTTGTTGCATTCTTGTACAGACGGATCTCAGATTTCATTCTGTGAAAGCTACTTCTAATTCCAAAGGGAGCATGTGTCATTTTTTCCCAATGTTATTACTGACCTAAACATGTCTGTTTTTTATTTTGTTACTTCCTGAGATGAATTCAATAAAGACAACCCAGGGAAAAGCTCTGCTAAATCAAAGAATGTTTCCAGGGGACAGAAATACATCTTTGTCTCTTTTAAAATAGAATTTACATTCACTTGTAGAATACACTATTTTTTAAAGCTATACTGCTACTGTAGTCCTGCCGGAGATTAAACTTGAAGACATTGTTCAAGCCAATTAGCTGTTTATTAACGTTGACCTTTCAAAGAACTTTCTTTCCTCATCAGGTCACTCTAGAGGGCATTCTAGAGGGTTTTCCCTCTTTTTTATATCCTACAGAATATAAGAATACATAAAGATATGTATTCAGAGCTTCATTTTGTCTGCTTTCTGATTAAAAAGCACATTCTAACCTATAATTCACTCACCCCTTTTTCTGTTTCATACTAACAAACACTCTCCTCCCAGTGGTCAGACTTTAAAAATAATAAAATAACTGCCCTGTCTTTAAATGCAAAAATCACTATTATTTTCATGGTTGTTTATATTTTAAATCTCCATTGTATCAATGTCAGCTTTAAGTATGACTCAACATAGAAAAATAAACAAGAAATGCTTTTCGATTTTTTGTGAAAAAGCAGCCAGTTCTGAATGAAGAGCTGTAAGGACATATATAGAGGATGGAGAGACATGTTTCAACATTGATTCAGCAGAATGGGCAAATGGTACAGCCACTGTCACTCACAGACACCTCTCCACTGTTCTTAATATGTTTTAAACAACAAGTTCTTAGAAGACTGAGCTAAGAACCACTGTCTGTTCCAGTGAATGGCTCACTCCATCCAACTCTCTAATTCTTGCTAAGTTTCTGAGTACCCCCATGCCAAAGTTTTTCAAAGCTATTGCCAATATTGGTTCAGGCCTTAAATAAAACTGCATGTTCTGCAGATGTTCAAAAGAAAAACAGCTGGGCTCCAAATATAAAATTATGTTTACCTTGCTCTTTAGCCCCAAATAAGGCCATGAAAGATTCTCAAAATAAAACAGTGAGGAAAAAAAAGCACAATAAAATGGCTGGCACAATAAAATTTGCCAGAACACAATTGGCAAGATAAAACAATTAACTTAAAACAGGTTAAAAGCTATATGAGGTTAAATGGGTGAACTGAACAGTTTTTTCAGCTTGTTAATTAAGAAAGAACCATCTGAATATCTTTATGGAGGGCATTCCAGACCATGGGTACTACAGTCAAGAAGGTGCCATCTTTCCATTTTTATTGCATATAATAAGTACATCTCTACTTTATTAAAGAGAAATAGAGAAAGAGGCAGTAAACTATGCTAATATGAGTTCCAAGCCAGTTCAGTTTGAGAGTTCCAATATGGAGAATAACAGAATGACTTAATTATCACTTTGTAAAAATAAAAGAAGAAACTCCCTCACCAGAATTCCATAAGTCAGGCACCAGGACAAAAAAAAAGAGTAAAAATATGGATGGGTTATTCATCTGACATTAAGAATAGACAGGCCTGCCTGGGTAAAGAAAAATTCAATCAATAAAAACCCATACCAGCCTAACAGAATTTGAACTTCAAAAATAATATTTTTTGAAGTGATTCTTTAATATTAAATATTTGGATTTTCCAACTGTTTTGTTAATAGCCCCAAAAATCCAATTAACCACTGAAAGGCAGGATATAGAAACTGTAATTTTTTTTAATCCATTCAATTATTTCTGATTCTCAGAGACTGCCTGGACAAGCCCCTGCAGTTTTTTTGGCAAGGTTTTTCAGAAGTGGTTTGCCATTGCCTCCTTTCCAGGGCTGAGAGAAAATAACTGGCCCAAGGTCACTCAGCTGGCTTTGTGCCTAGGCAGGACTAGAACTCATAGTCTCCTGGTTTCTAGCCTGATGCCTTAACCACTACACCAAACTGGCTCTAGAAATTTTAATAATATCTATCAAAATCCAATACTGGACTTAGGTTTGTTTAATGCATTATGATGATGATCATGAGGAGAAAAGCATGATACAGATAGAACCAGATTTATCATATATTCCATTTTTTCCTTTGTTCCTTTAAATCAGAACTGTGTATTATTCCTCCTGTTTTGTCTCTTCCACCAAAGAACAAATATAGCCATGTGTTTATTTGTTTTTAAAAAGGCACATAGTTCTCCATACACAGCAAGGCTATTGTCTTCAGCACTTGTTATGCCCAAATGCACAGCACATGGAGTTGTTGGCACTACATGTGCCCAGATGGCCACACCACTGAAGCATCACTTGTGGGAGTTAGGTGTGACAGTGAAAATATGCTTGTGGCTTGATTAGCAACTGCTGAAAGGCATAATATCTTTGGACGCACTGGTGTCAACCCGCACAGAAGCAACTTCCTTTCACTCTTCATGATAATGGGCATTTTCTAGGCTTTTTGTTTTGGTGGCAAGGAGACAAAGAATGAGAGTTTTCTTATTTGATAATGGCTTTAAGTAATAGAAAAGATAGCTAAAGTAGATTATAATTTAGGGGCTGATTCAGGAACCATGCCTCATTCCAGAAACATGTCCATTATTATGGTCAGTATGATGAAAACCTTCTGGTAAGAGAGTTGAAAGGCCAGAGGGAGAGAAGAAGCTTTTTGTATGAAACTTTCCAAAATGTTACCCTTCCCTTTAAAAATACACAGAAGGGAATGGAGCCCATTATTTCCCTCTTCCCTCTTTTTTTTTTTTATAGCTTATCAACATGTTCGCCTATCATTTTGTTCCATACTTTTAAATGAAAAGGGGGTTCTAATTTGCTTCAGCTAGTACTCTTCTTATGCTTCAGAAGGCAAATGTCAGGACTATATCAAACTGAGTAGTTAATTTAAACACTTACACTAGCTCATGAATACTTCAGTCTAAGAATGTCGTCAGTTTTCCAACCAATTTAAAAGATGACCGACTATAAAGCTGCTACTAGCCAGATTCCCCAATGTGGTATGGCTCTGGCACATTGGGATTTGAGCACTTTGGGACTATTGGAGAAGAAAGAAAAAGCTGCCATAGACCAATGACTCCTTATGGTCTGTCACAAACATAGGTTTGCAAGCTGAAGGCCTGACACATTCTTGTTTTGCTTCAGCCGCTTATCTGAAGAAAGGATAGACTGAACAAAATATGGACCTCCTGCCCTAGATTTTTGAAACCAGACTCCCAACTCTGGTCAACTCAGTTGTTTTAGTTGATTGGGGGCCAGTTTTAATGGTTGCCAAGATATTTTTGGGTTTGTGCTTTCCTTTTTTAAAATTTGGGCATACAGGCACTTTTCCAAACAAAGTGATGGGCACAACCAACCCCATGTTTTATTTATTGGAATCTCTAACGGTCTGGGAAGGTCCCAAAGACATGCTTGGAATAAAAATGATGGAAGAAGTTGGAGCTTTATTTTGCGGCAAGCATGTTTCTTATTTTTAAAAGACTAGCATAATCTAAGTAAATAAATAAAATCAGCCTGGCAGGCATCATGAGAGTTGTCCACAGATACCCCCTACCTATTTTGCTCTAGGATAATGAATGTAATACAATTTACTTCCATCCTGAATTGTCCTGGTCTGCTTCCTTGCAATTTTAGAGAACAATTGCTGAAATGCAACAGGCCTGTATGAAGCAACAAAGATTCATCTTGATGAAACAATTTGCCTGAACAACATTGCTTTGGGCCGGGTCCTGGGAGAAGGCTGCTCTTAGCCTTCCAGAATGGCTGGCTAATGGAGCAGCCACAGGCCTCACCACAACTGCCCAACTGGAGGAATTGCAAAGTGCATCAAGAAAGCTCCAGATGATTATATTATTATTTTAGATCATCTTTCCCTAATGCTTACCAGGAATTCTCACTGCTGCATTCCCACCTCTGAAGGAACAAGGGAGGAGAATGCTATTTGTGTGCCAGTGCCATCAAACCATCTTTGTTACAGGCCAGTTTCAGCAAGTAAAGTTTAACGAATAATAATTCTACAGCAAGGGCTTTGCCGCTGTGATAATATTTTTGAAACAGTACTTAGTTTATTAGCTTTTATTAGAAATATTAACATAATGATTTAGATAAACGAATATATTACAAATGGACCAAAACCTGCCTAGATGTTACCTTTGTGCATTCAATCCAACAGGTGAGACGTGAGCAGCTTTCCACTTACCTAGTAATGCTGGTCAAGTAGGTGATGAGATAATCTCTGTGCTTACAATGCAAACCTAGCTCTCACTGGGGCTGATTCCATGTGAGATGGAAACCTGGTGGAGGAAGATTCTAGTTCATGGGGAAGTGTTTGTGTGAATGTGAAACCCCCCTGCTGAAGACAATCACACTATAAGTTTATTTATCTCACCAGTCTGACTAGAGAATGTTAGTTTCTACTGAACATTGAAAACAAAAGAGTCTAAAATAGTCCTCCTTTTTAATTGTACCACTTTTATATTCTATTGATTTCTCAATAACCTACATAAAACTTCCTTGGAATACCAAATTTGTTGAACTAAAAGCAAGATGAATTAAACAAACTTGGGTATTTACAGAAGGAAAATACAGATCCACTGACATTGCCAAAAATGGCTAATGCTATTTGGAAAATGATAGCACTGAGAGGAAAAACTGGCTGTATACCAATTCTTCATACTTTATGGAGCAGATCAAAACTTACTCTGTGGAATGTATGCAGATAAACTTTTTTTTTTTACTAAGCAAGCAAAAGAACAAACAGTTTAAAGAATCAAAAGGTAGAAATGTTACAATGGAATAAAAGGAAGATGCTCAAATTTACCTCTTCTCTATGGTTCTTTATTGGCATACAAAGAATGCTTTGTGTTTTATAGCCTGTGATTTGGTCCACTTCAGCATTGAATCGGGGATCCTGCCAAAGGAAGAAAATATGTAACTGTGCACACCATTTTTTCAAAAATTGTTCCCATTTACTCCATTCAAAGAACCATAGGATATCTAATTAACTATTCCCCTTGAAAATGATATTTCCATTCTCAGACAGTGGATAAGAAGATTCAGTAATAAAGTTATTATTTAGGGATTTCTGTCCTTTATTTCAGAAAACAAATTTCCAAGGTCTGTGCAGAGTCTATTTAAAATAAATCAATTGTACAGTAATATATTGTTTTTTATCCTAGGTAATGTTGTTATGACCTGTTGTCGCAACGGTAAATGTATTGTTTGATTGATACAATAACTTAATTTAAAAAAGGAAAGGATCTACTGTATATATTTTATTTTTATTTAAATATTAAAAATAACCATATGGATGGTTTAAATGCAGGGTTCAGGTAAAGACCAGGTGGGGACTTCTGCAAGACTGGAGTTACAACCAAACAGCCCAAGTTCTTTCAAACTACGTTTCTTAACATTTACATTCCATAAAATAATGACTCCCACAACGACTGAGATGCTACAACAAAAAAGAACAAAAGAATTAGCCTAAACTCTGATCTATTTCCTTTTACTAGGACAAAAGCATACTATAATACTTATGAAAGGCATAGGCTTTTTCAAACATTTTCTGTTTTTAGACAAACACAGTAAGGTGTATTGGATATAGTACTCTTGTGGCCAGTGGACTAAAATAATGAAAAAGAAGTTGTTCCTTTTCAGGAAAGAATGAACAAATTAAATTATGCCATTTTTATTTATCCTAGACTGAGTTTATTTATAACATGTATATAGCCGCCCATCTTAAAAACTCCTGGGAGTATTCTATACATATTTCAGCATACTGACATGTATTTTTAAATCAATTTCATCCAGGAGAAACATTTATCTTAAAAGCCTCCAGACAACAGAACCCCATTTACTATTTTTGACTATCCCTAATTGTTGAAGGAAAGCAAAATTCAGTGTTAAAAATATATCCACAGTCCAGAGTTTCACTTCCAGTGAGGCTCCACGTGTAACAACTGCATGTATTTTCTCCTCATAAAAATCCTAGCTTCTTGATGTAATGGGGAAAGAATTGATAACTAGAGAGCTTCTAGTTGTTGCTTTCTTTCAGCAATTAGGGATAGTCAACAAATAGGGGAAAGAAGCTCTCTAGTTATCAAGAATCTCTGCTTTGTACTCTTGATAAATGGAAACCAAACTTCAGATGATGTTTTCAATGGTAGGTTTCCCAACTGAGATCCAGAGACCAACATGTCCATCAGCGCCTCACACAATCTATTCAAGTGATCGGTAAAAGAGCTGCAGAATAAGCAAGAATATCAGGGTGTTACTTGTGTAATACACTGCTCATGCACTTTATTAATGTCCCATTCTCAGTTAAAGGAGCTGAGTTTTTTTTTCAGCCTGGTCTTAGACTCTCTATTTTCTTAGTTGGGCAGTATTAAAGAGAAAAATTGAATAAAATATGAGCTATAGATGTACTTAATAGTCTTTAACTTAATTTTAAATTAAGGTAAAAAAATATTAAATTTAACAAAAATATACTGACAGCCCCAGAAATGTTCAAACAATCCACTGAGGGAAAATTGTTTAAAAACCCTTGCTTTAAATTGATTCTAGAACTCATAATGTGACACTTGGGGAAAGTATCTGTTAGGTTTATCAAACTCAACCCATGTAGCGTCTTAAACTCTGCTAAAGCAGAATTAAGATGATACAGTTTAAACACACACACAGTGAAGGCACGTGTGCTTTCTTTGGCTCTTCAAAACCTGGAGAATTAATGGATTCTTTTATTAATTTCTAACTTCTATTTTCATTAACAAAACAATTCCAGAATCTACCATGTTTTGCACCTTATATCACTTTGTAGATCCAAATTCAACGTTTATTCCGATTAATAGCTAATATTCAAAAGCTTCCAATTTGTAGGCTTATGGACATTCAAACTTTGTTTTCTATAGAATAGGAACATATTTAACCTATTTAGCCACTTTCCTTCTCAATGCTTGCTAAACCAAATGTCCTGAATGGATATTTGGCTTCAAGTACTTTATTGCTTCTTTTGGAAGGCTTCATTTAGTATTATAAAAGATCCTTAGGTCAATGTTTCATATACTGCCAAGCTACCGAATAAAATATTTGGGTCTCATCAAAGCAAATGTCCTGAACCAAATCTCCCAGCAAGTCACCCTGAACAGTTATTTAATGTGGGTTGTTTAATTAAAATAAAAGCCATTAAAATGTTGCTCAGGAGAACACTTGTGATATGTTGGCATGTAGTAATATCCTATATTTTAATCTGGAGAAAAACATAACATTAACATTTGTAGAGACTGTGGTTTAATAGCAGATGTCATATTTGCATCTATCTACTGTAAGGCTCTCTATCCTTTTTAGTTTGGGGCATAATGTGGAATATAAGCCATACAGAGGAGGAAGAGATCATTTTGAATAGAGGAATTAAACTGAAGTTTGTGCTTGTACTATCCTAGAGACCCATTACTTCCAAATGGACGCAGTATTCAACTAGAGTGGCTAATATTTGGTGATACGCTGTCCTGCGAGATCATTAGAAGAGAAAGGGCCAGCACAAAGCATATGATATAAATGTTGTTCAACATAAACAGTGACAGGGTGAATTTCATATATATGCTTACAGGATTTGGGGTCTCTAGTAAATCAGTTCACTGACAATGCCTTGGTCAAAAACACTAAATTCATGCTGGAGACCATCAGGGAAGGAACTGAGCAACAGTGTGGATATAATTCTATGGGCAGCCACATAGAAATACTGTATACAGTTCAGGTCACTGTCTTTAAATTGGATATTTTAGAATTGGAAAACATACAAAAAGGACATAACCAGAGGTCTGGAACAAATTATCAGTGAAAAAAAGTTATGAAAATTAGAGCTTTATGGATTAGAAAAGGATTAACTGAGGAGATAAATTATAGAAGTATTTAAAATGATTTATAGTGTGAAGAAAGCAGATTAAGAGTTTTCTTCCAATAAATCTCAATTGAAGGAGACTGAGGACAGATAAAAAGTAGAGGAAAGGGCAGCCAAAATGATTGGATAAAAACTACAGAGATCTTAGCTTAAAAGTGAAGCTAAAAAGGACAACAGGAAACATTATAGGGTAAATACAATAACAGAGGGTATGAAAAAACACAGCTCAAGAGATGCTTTTCTTCATCTCTAACCATGTTAGAACTTGGGGTTTCTCACTGAAACTTAATGCAGGGAGATTCAGAAGCAGTAAAATTAACTTGAATTGGTTAAACCACCCATTTAGATGGTTTTAAAAGGGGGTTAGACAAATTATTGGATGATCAATTTATCAGTTATAAAGTTAATCAATTGTTAATCTTAATTCCTGTACCTTCTGAATAAACCATATGCTGGGGAACATCATTAATTGAATAAACAAACAAACAAACAATGAAAGAGAATTAACTCCTTCCTTCTACTGCTTGTGGGTTCCCTGAATACATTTACCTGCCTAATTCTTACATTCTTAAGGATATACACCAAAATAAAAGAGAAGAACTGTTATTTGATTGCCTTTGATGAGAGGCCATCTGCATTTAGTTCTTCTGAACTGTTAGCTGGCTAGCAGCCATTCTTAGAGCTTTTGATGTTAAGAAAAATAATATAAGTAATTGGTGCCTAAGCTTGTGGTTTTTTCTCTCCTTTTTCTTCTTTTCATTCCATTCTCCTTGTGTGCTCTTTCTTTTAGATTATAAACCTGAGGGATAAGTCTTTAGTCATTTCCTCACCTTGATTTATAGCACCTTCTAGCGTCACCCAACCACTGTTGCACTGATATAGTAATGAGGACAGGCTATATATCACTTCAACAGTGGCTGGTTGATGATAGCAGATGTTATAAAGCATTTGAGAGGAAATGGTCTATGTTACGAATGACATTTGTAATCCACTTTAGGGATAATTTGTGCTAAAGAGTGTTCCAAAATATTTTAAATGTATATAATACAAGATAAAATTACTACAAATGTCACAATTTTAAAAGGGAGCTATTCATATGCAAGATGGATAAGCTTTCAGTAGCTTCTAGAAGGAAGGATCCTTCTGATGTTGGTGAAAATGTGCCTGTGAATACCAGTTGCTGGGGAACACAATTGAGAGAGTGCTATTGTTCCCCTCTTTTCCCATTCACAACTATAAAAACAGGATGCTGCCTTTGGTCCAATTCAGCATAGCTTTCCTTGTGTCAGGGTTCCCCCCCCCCCCCCCCCCC